CCATTTCAAAGTACATCTGTACCAAAAGTGAGTTGGTACATAGGATGAGGGACAGAAGAGCACAGAGAACAGCCCTACATATGACACCAATATACAGTCTTCACAAGTCACATTTTCCTGATAGAGGAAAGAAGAAAGATCCCGTCATCCACGGTGGACTCCAGCAATCCACAATTGCAGGCTTCCATCTGGGAATCTATGATATATGCTGTAGAACTAATTTCCCTTTTCAAAGGAAACAGGACAGATCGTGGAAACTCAGAGTTCAGAAGGCATGCATGCTAAGGTGTCAGGAGCTGCTCTCCAGCAGCTTGTAGTGTTCCCCTGACCTCTTGGTTTGGAGCTGCCAATTCAGCCTCTTTATGCTGTGTCTAGGCCTGCAATGCAGTGTTGTTTCTGGTACATACAGTGGTGAAAAATCCCTTGAGGAGGACGGATCTGCTTCAGTGATTAAGGTTGACGGACACCATAATGTGCTCTGCTCTCCTGCCTGCTATTGTTCTGACCCTTTCTGTTTCTATATATTTTCTGAATTCTGGCTACTGTCCAAGAATTTCACATTTTTCTCATTCTCCAGCCCTGTAATAGCTCCGCACTCTTTGTTTCCTTCCTGTGTTATCTTTGCTCTTGCCTATGGCTGACTTTTGAACACACTGACACATGCTATTTATCTTTGTCTTGTTTCTTGCTTAGTGGCATTACCTACTCTGACCCCATATCCAGCCCTACAGTACTAGTGACCAGCATAGCTATAAGGAGGTAAATTAGTGCCTCTTATCTAGTTGAAGATTTTCTTCATGATGTTTCCATAGGAGACAAGCTTTCTATAATAACATATGACAACCACAGAAATGGGAGTTGGAACAAGCTCTGTTGTGCCATGCTCCTGATTTATGTAGAGCCCAATTTTCTTAGAGGTATAATGAGGTACACAAGGAAGTTATTTGGAATACTATTTTGACTATTTAACTAATTAACAAAGTGTGAAATAAACTTAGTACCAACATGATCTTTGTTTAAAAACAAATTCCCACTGTCCAGAAATGAAACACTGACAAAAAGGAATATCAAAAAATTAAAAGGCTGGGCAGTGGTAACACACACCTTTAATCCCAGCACTGTGGATGCAGAGTCAGGTGGATCTCTGTAAACTCAAGGCCAACCTGGTCTACAGAAAAGAGCGAGTTCCAGAACAGACTCCAATGCTACACAAAGAAACCCATCTTGAAACAAACAAACAAACAAAAAATTAAAAGTCAGGCAAGAGAGATGTCTCAGTGGTTAGAAGTCACCATTGCTCCTGTAGAGGATCCAAATTCGGCATCCTACAACTGCCTATAACTACCGTTCTGGGGGACCTGATGCTATCCACTAGATCCCTAGTGTATCTGCATACCTGTGCATATACTTAGATACACACAAATATATACATAATTAAAAATAAAATAAATCTTTTAAATATTAAAAGTTAGAAGACATAATTATTGAAGTATCTTACTTTCGACTTAGAAACTACCTCTACTGTCATCATTAAGAGATATCAATCGATCGAGCAGAGAGGAATATTTCTAGGTTGACACCAAGCAATAAAAGGGAAAGTCTTTCTTTCTATGGCCCAAAAGGAAGGTTTGAATTTTGCCCAATTTTATAATTATAGTTTTGAATGTCTCCAGTTAACTTATTCACCCTTCCATAGATCCATCCTTTCAGAAAATATTTGCTATAGAGTACCTACAGTATGCCAGCTTCCCTCCAGAGCTCTGTGCATTTTTAGGACAGGCTTCCCCCATCTCCATGAGCTTGCATTGTTTCTTTCTTGCTACTTCTCACATCACTCTAACTTTCTGTTTCTATTCTTAGAAATGCATTTGTGTGGAGCTGGAGAAATGGCTCGGTGACTAAGAGCTTGTACTGTTCTCCTTGAAGACTCACAGCAGAAGGCTCACAATGACCTGTAACTTTAGCTCTAAGTAGATCCAATGCTCCTTGCTTCTGTGGATGCTTGCACTCATCTGCACACACACACACACACACACACACACACACACACACACACACACTTAAAAACAACAAAATTAAAAAATTCAACACATATGTGCACATCCTACATGCCAGAGAGCTACAACCAGCAATAAATTTTTAAGAAAGAACATTGTGGTTGGTAGGATTGAGTCCTGTAACTAAATCTATTTTTTAAAAAAATCAAAATTCCACAGGGAAGTCTCTAGAAAAACATCCTCTTCAGGCATATATTAGGGACTCTCCTTGATTGTCTCTCTCTCTCTTTTTTTTGCCTCATCTTGCCTTTGGATTTCTTTCTAGCATATTGGCATAACTAAATACACACCATAACTTTAAGGTAATGTAAGGACCTGAAGAAAGATATGTGTAAGCTTGCACAAAAGCAATGGCTGCCTTTTACGCCATTGAATCACATTTGGTAGGTGCTCGATAACTGTATTGGTACTCACTATAAGATGGAGGAAGTGCTTCTGTGTATGTGTTTGTCTTATTGATGATAAATAAAGTACTGTTTGGCCAATGAGGCAGCAAGTTAGGCGGGACTAGGAGTCAAGGAGGATTCTGGGAAATGTAGAAAAGAAGTGGTGATCTGCAGGAAGTGACATAGCAGGGAGACTCATATATAAACAAGGGCAAGAAGGAAGTGGGCCGATTCTCTCTTCCTCCAGAGTCACCATGTGATCCCTGGATGAGGACGCCAATGGAAGGCATCCTAAATAAGATAAGTCTTATAAAATAGATTTATGATAGTTAAGACTGAGCTAACAGATGAGAAATCCTAGTCATTGGCCAAGCAGCATTTGTACCTAATAGAAATCTCTGTGTATTATTTGGGGCCTTAACATAGCAAGCAGAACTCAAGATGGTGGCAGAAAGATTTATTGTAACAACTATAAAAGCCAAAAACTACTTGGAAATTTTATTGTGAAACTGCTAATTATCAAAAAGTACTTGGAGCAGAAATATTCACCTTCACTTCTGCTTTTGCCTAGTGTGCTTGCTCATCTTTAGCAGGTGGACTTAGCACTGCTTACCTGGACGATAACAGCAATCCCTACAATTATAAAGGAGCAGTCCCTTTCACCATTTTTTTTTAAAAAAACACCTTAAGAATTCTAACTATTTGGAAGAGTAAAACCATTCAAGGTAAAAAAAGGATGAGATTGACATGGGAATTTTAGCTACGGAAACTGTTAGACTGAGGCAAAGGTCCCTGGGTAACAGATGAGCTGTCCTGTTTGATATGGTGCTGAGTAAGCAGTACTGCCCAATCATGCGGTCCAGCATATGGCACAACTATATCCTCAGAAGAATGCCTCTAATAGCAGTATGGCCCTTCATTCTGCCTTCAGCGTAATTCTGGCAAGTGGGTCCCATTTGATTTGTAATAAATGGTCCAGCATATGGCACAACTATATCCTCAGAAGAATGCCTCTAATAGTAGTATGGCCCTTCATCCTGCCTTCAGCGTAATTCTGGCAAGTGGGTCCCATTTGATTTGTAATAAACGTTTAAAGTAACACTTGGATTGGTTGAGTATTTGTTCAATTTGCATGATGTCTGGTAAAGCCTAAGTTCATGCTTGATCTAAATCTGTGCTTTCCTACCAAAAGTATGCTACCTTTATTAGACCACAGATTCAGTAGTGTAAGTGATGCACACCTTTTGAGTGTGAGACATCTTTTCCTTCAAAGGGGTCTACTATACCCTAATCAGGAAGGAGACAACACCAGTGAAATAAAGTGGGGACAAAAGCATTTCTAGAGATCAGTCTTGGATAGAGTGACTAGAGACTATTTCATGGAGGGGAGACTTTAGGAAACAAGCCTGGGACAACCACATGTAGGGCAGATGGAAGACATTTGTTTGCATGGCAAGGGCAGATGCCTGGATTCCTGGGACAAGTGTTCGCAGTATTCATGGATTGTCCACAGGCTGACTAAAACATTCCCAAGAAAAGACCAATTTAAAACAGGAAAGAATGCTTTTAATTATCTTTAAGAAGAACTTCTAACAGCTTTTTTTGATATTCAAATGGGTATGGGGTCTTAAACTTTTTTATATGGCTGGCTTTGAACTCAGTGATTTCAGCATAAGGACAACTTGTTTATTAGGATAAATGTCTTGAGTTTTAAAATACTTTTTATATTTTTGTTTTTTGCATTTCTTACTGGGTAAGCTTCTTGTATCAATGCCCTCAGGTATTCTTTACCTTAACTGGATTTGGATCTTTGCTCAGAACATCTCAATGAGCCCTCCCTAGTCAGACTACTCAAACTTGTAATCTGCCACTTAAATTTCCTCTCTTTCAGTCTCTACTTCCCCTCCTCTCTACACTTAATGCACCAGATCTACTACGTTGTCTGCTGAGCTTTTGTCTGTCTCACCCTGAGTATGACGAAGATACAATGTTTTGTCCACCACTTTCCGTCTAGTGCCTAGAATTGAACCCAGAAAATAGACAATCCTCTAAATATTTGATTAAGAAGCAAAAAAATAACTGTTTCAGGAAGCATGGTGCATCATTTACATTGGAATCCTATATAGCTCAGGGTCTCCTGGCATCACTACTATCATGGGTTGTGTTTTCTACAGTTTGTTGCAGCAGTTTCTCCTAAGAAACAGAGTGGGATTACAACTGTTTCAGTTACTAGCATTATGATAAAACAAAAGGACTTTCCATGTAACCCTTGTTAAGACCTTACCCTTATCCTTCCCTGTTGCCATTGGGTCTCACTATGTACCCAGGCTCGCCTCCTATTCACAATCCTCCGATCTCAGCCTCAAAAACAGCTGGGATCAGCTGCATACCACTTATGCCTAGCCTGTTAAGACATCAGAGAAATCAACTCTCATACTTCAGAGACCCTTTAAAATAGATGAAATCCTTTCTGAGGAAATCAGTCATACCCGCCCCCCCAAATCTCTTCTGTCAAAAATTAGTGCTGCTAAAACTCTTGAAGCCATCATTCCCACAGCAGCCTGACAAAGAAGCCCTTTAGCTCACTCATCATGAGGTTAGAGGGGAGGAGCAGAACACCAAGAATCAAACCATGGAGCCTGAACCACGCCTGGACCTGATTTAGGTAATGAGTCATTGGACTTCAAGCTGATGCTATAATAGAGGCCTGAGAGGAAGGTGAGTGCATTTTTCATGTGTGAGGAATATGACTGGATGAGAGTTAAAATGTCAGGTCATAACAGATTTTGTAACATTTCATTTTTCTAAGAGAGCTACAATAATATTTTACCTACAATGTGACTTCAGCATTCTATTTTCAAGCAAAGGATGCTTTCTCCCCAAATCTGGATGGACTTGTGTTTGTCTTAATTACATAGGAAGAAATGAATACCGTATGGCTTCCAAGGCTGTTGTGAGACACAATGCAGCTTTGTCTTGGAGTTCTGAGCTTATGGCTGCCGCCTGAGAAATCTGATTACTCTGTGGTTACCATGTGTTGTGGAAGCCAATCACTGTGGGGAGCCACAAGTAGGTAGGCTCCTCCATTCCATGCTAGTAGTGTTTTAATCTTCTTAGCCCTTAGTCCCAGATGTGAGCAAGTGAATCTTCTTTATTAGTCACTTTTCTCATTGCCATGACAATGTATTTCACAACATAAGGAAGGGAGGCCATGGTGTGAGATGTTTTAGTCCAATATGGCCAGGAACACATGGTAGAAACATGCTGGGGCTGTGATGACCACAGGAACATGAGGCAGTCCTCATGACAACAGACTGGAAGAAGATAAAGCAGGCTGGTGACAGGGCAGGTATAACTTTCAAAGGCCTGCCTCTAGTTCCCTTCTTGTATCAGACATGCTCCATTTCCCAAAGATTCTGCAGCCTTTGAATAATCTCACAAGATGAGGACAGAGAGTTCAAAAGATGTATACTTTCTCATGTTTCTGATCCCCATCTGCCAGCAATTCCTAGACTTTGAGTTTTCCTAAGAACAATGAAGACCCAAAGAATATTTCATGCATCCTGTCTAAATTTCTAACCAGCCAAATCTGTTTTAAACATGAAAGAGTTGAAAATACTGTGTTTTAGACAACCTTCCCTCCCATAATGGTAACTACAATAGTCTACCTTAACTGTGTCTTTGCAGTTTGTTTTAACAGCATGGGAAGTCTCATTCATACTTCTTCACCCTACTCCACTTTTTGGTTGCTGCATCAAAATTCCCGAGACTGGATAATTTATAAGGAAAAGTCTACTTCATTGTTCTGGAGTAAGTTCAAGATTGGGCAGCCACATCAGACAAGGACCTTGTCACACATCTTCAAGGAAAAGGAAAAAGCAATTGTGCTCATGCAAAATAGAAAAAGGATAAGGAGTGACATCATGTTGCAGTAAACCATTCCTGTTATAGCCAAGGCCAGCTGCCAGGCAGAAAGAAATAATAAATGTTCACTGTTAAGCCCCTGAGAATTTTTGTAATGATACAAAATAAGAAACCCAGGTAGCAGAACTAGGTATCTGAACGTAAAAACCAATAGTTGAAACACTGGAAATAGTGATTATTGCTTATTTACAATCAAGAAATTAATTCATTGCTAGTCATCTTCTATTTGTGCTTTTGAGCTCATGATACAAAATGATAAGCAAGAGAAGTAGCTGTTTTCTCTGCATCATTCATAAATGGAGCAAAGAAAGCATACTCTACTTGCCCTCGAATTATGTTCCTTGTACCATATCTATTGCGTGTGCCTTGATTGCTTTTATAATTGTCCACTGTTTGTGCAGGATCAGAATTAACATTGGTCCTAACATAAAGTACTTTGTGAGTAGCATTGCCATGCTCGTAAGCCACAGTGGAGGAATATGAGAAACTTCTAAAGGGCAGCTCAGAATTAAGATTTTATCAAAGCCAAGTTGAAATACGAAAACCAGTTTGTTTGATTTTTTTTTTTAAAAAAAAATCTACATTTAGAGGTGGTGGTGTTCGTGTATGCTTGGAATGCAGAAAGCGAAGTTAGAAGGTGTGTGAACAAGAAAGGGAAGGGCCATTTTCTATAGCTTTGGATGAACCCTATTGGTCTCCCTATGTTATAATGAACAATAATACATATATGCTTACAGCATCCAAGTGCCAGGAAGAAGTGTGAAATTTTATATTAAGTTTTAAATTAATATTTGCTGATTTCCTTGAAAGGTTCAAGCTGTCGTTTTATACAAAGAAATAACCAGTAGCTTTGTAATGTAGAAAGGCATCCCTGACAGAGATACATTTTCTCTCCTTAGAACAAGAATGGTGCAGCGATAAAGGAAGGATAAGTCTGTAAACCTTTTGCTGTGTTGGAAATAAGAAGCATGCAGAAAACTGAAACAGTTCAATAAGAAGGTGAAAACTCAGAACTTACAATAGACTTTTCGTGTGCCCTTGAAATGATATTATAATGAAAACTTGTAAAGGATTCAAGATCCCTTTAATCAACTCCCTCCTTGTTCCTCTGTGTTCTAGAGTTGCTTGACTATAGTTGTCTAAATCTACACACATCACTCTGCACAGAGCAGAAATTTGAAAAGGAATTTGTAGTCTGTCATGGCTGACTATATGTTTTCTGTGTCCATTTATGAACCCACACCTTTCAGAGACCAATAGGTTAGTGGAAACCCATCTAGTTCTTGTTAATTTTGATGAATGTCATCTAGAATATTCAAGAGATATTTGGTCTGGGATTCAGAGACCTAAGACTTTTACAGAAGTATAAATTGTGATGTTGCCCTGAAAGAGAGCAGAGAATGGAACACAAATAGAACACAGGAGAATCCATGTTTTAAAGGAATCATAAGAGAACAAAAAAATGGTGACTGATCAAACACCAAGAGTGCATTTGTCATAACATGTAGGCACAAAAGACCAATGAAATAAGTCCTTCAGAGTTTACAACTTTCTCACAGTTTTAATATTACTAAATATTGGTCAGGTGGATAGTGAAGGTAGAAGCCATTTTGACATGTCCAAGGTGCAACTGTTGCTGAAAAAGTCATCCTACAAAAATTGCTAAGAATATGTGTTTTGGAAGGAGAAGAAGGAACCATTGAGGTGGCTAATTTTCTGTTGATGACACAAGCTAAAGTCATTTGAGAAGAGGGAATCACAACTGAGAAATGTTACCATCAGATTGGCCAATAGGTAAGTCTGTGGAGCATTTTCTTGATTGATGATTGATGTGGAGAGGTCCAGCCCACTGTGAACAGTGCCATCCCTAAGCAGGTATCCCTAGAGTATATAAGAAAGCCAACTGAGCAAGCCAGGCAGAGCAAGCCAGTAAGAAGTGTTCCTCTATGGCCTCTTTCAGTTCCTGCCTCCAGGTTACTGACTTGGGTTCCTGCCCTGATCTTCCTTTATGATACATTGTGATCAAGACATATAAACTGCAATAAACCCCTTCTTCCCAAAGTTGCTTTTGGTAATGGTGTTTCATCACAGCAATAGAAAACAACCTAGGACACTTGTGTACCCATGATCAAGATCCATAGAGAGTAATACTGCCACTGGACCAGTGAAAGAAATGCAAATTGGAAAACTATCTAGGGGTATCTTTGTCTATTTTTTTCTTACTGTAGATACATTATGTCATTTATACTTTCATTCAAAATACTTCCAAAATGACTATCAGAAGAAAGACAATAGAAGGAATCTTGAAAGAAGTCATTGAGGTCCAGAGGTTCCAAATCGCCATTAAAATATCTTCACACATGTCCCAGCTCTATCCTTTCTATTTTTTTCCATTTTGAAATTTCCTGGGGGTGATCTAGATCTGTTTATACCCATGTCTCCTTTACCTATTGTTTGGATTCCTGTATCCTGTCTTCCTGGACTTTTCCGTAGCTATGGAGTGGCAGATCATCCTATAATCAGTGCTTTTTACCCTCTTCCAATGTTTGCCTTTTAAACCAAGGATCCCTCTCCTTCTACTTTTCCATATGGCATTGTGAAAGTTCACTTCCTTAGCTGAAATCAGATACCAGACATTTATAAACCAGGCTGTGCTTTCTGTTATACCAGTCTCACTATATTTTCCCTTGAATTATAAAACTCAGCCACTAATAGCCCTAACCTCATGTTTAACAGACAACAGGTTATGCTTGAAATGTTTCTCTTTATTTCCCAATTCTCAGATTAGAATTTCTCTCTTCACTGTTTTGTGATTAAATATATGAATATGTATATATGCATATATATACATATATATGCTATCCAAGTTCCCATACTGTTTGGGTTATAAATTTCTTAATTATAGTTCATTGCTTACTGGTTAAAATTACTTCTGTCTCAGGCAGACAATGGATCCTGGAATGGGGGGAAAGCAGGCAGGAATGTGACCATAGTGCAGCAGAATAGGAAACAGGGAAGAACCAGTGTTTAAAACTTCTTCTACCATCACATGGCTGAGTTGGTATTCTTTTGTTTTCTGTATATAATCTACAAAAATATTTCTGGGAGCATCTTATTGAAGGTGAATCAGGGAAAGCCTAGCTTCCCCTAACTAATTCAAAGACTGCCTATGATAAAACCTTCATCCTTATGATTTCAACAAAGTGTATCATCGAATTACTAATCTCATTCTGAATGCTGAGTACTTCAGAGCTTTTTGTTAATATTCTCTCTCTCTCTCTCTCTCTCTCTCTCTCTCTCTCTCTCGTTTGTTATGATAGTATTTTAATATGGAACCAGGAATCTTAGAACTAACGAGGCTTGTGCCTCTGCATACAGTGGTGCAGGGAGTATAGGACTTGACTGTTGAAATATTCTAATCTCTCTCTCTCTCTCTCTCTCTCTCTCTCTCTCTCTCTCTCTCTCTCACACACACACACACACACACACACACACACACACACACACATCTCCTTGACATCTGGCTTCTTTTCTTCTTTGTTGTTGCTGTTTAATCAGCAAACCCAACAGGAATTTTTGTTATCTCTTTCCATTGTCCCTTTTCTAGGCAACTGGAATGGCAACTATGCTGCCAGCTTTGTCTCACTGAACACTGCAGTGACATGCTTTTGACAGAAGCCCTGGTCAGAGACATGTCATTGAGTCTGAGTTAAACTGGGAAATCTTCTGTATTGACTGAAAGAAGCAGCTCGAAAAAGGCTAAAGTTTGGAAAGACTTGTGAATAATTAAGAGGAGTGGGTGTTAAGCCAAGTTAGCATATTCTTAGTTGTATAGTCTATAGAAATTGAGAGTAGGAAACAGATGGAAGTTGAGGTATAGACTCAATATCTCTGGGAATGTCAGATCAGAGATTATTTTTGGAAATGTAAAAGGAGGTTTGTGTGTAGGAGGAACCCAAGAGCTGGGACACAGATCTTCAGGGGTGCCAGGCAAAGAATGAAAAACCCAGCTTGGAGTGAGGAGTACCTAATTTGTAGAATAGCTGCTTAACCCCACTCTCCTACCGATGACATATACTTTCAAATAGCCTCCTGTGAATTTTCAGAGTTGAGCTACCACCAGGTCATTTGCAACTGTTTTCCAACAAGAGCAGGATGGTTCTGTGTGATTTATTTTCAGTTGTATTTTTCCTCCCTCTGTGTCAGCCTTCTAGAGGTACCACGTGTGGATAACTCTTGTGTGGATTTTTAGCTTCTAGAGATCACAAAGTAGATGGAGCAGCTAGGTGGGTGAGGTGAAATAATGAAAGGATTTAGCAGACTTAAGGACTAGCGCAAGAGACCAAGCACAGGAAAAGCTGCAGTGTGTGCGTGCTTGACAGGACTTGCAGAGCTCATTCAATCTTCGGGAGGAACAAAGGGCTGGCAGGTGAAAGAGAGCAGCAGACACAGTCAGGCCAGGTGTTCAGCATTAAAGCTCGCCTTGCTAGAGATCCCAGATGGCTGGAAAGAGAGGTGCGAATGAAATGACCCAGAGAAGTCGGGAGATGCACGAGGAAGGCAATAAGCTACATTTAGGTACTCGCAATTAGAGAGATTTCAATTGCTTGGCAGTTACTTGAGTGATAATGAATGTTTGAACCATCGTTGAACAGGGGACAGATCTATTTCTATTTGAAGAAGTATTGTCCAGCCTTCTTATTGTCTGCATTTCCCAAGCACCTTCTTAGTTGTTGGTTGTTTTTATTTAAAAGGAGCAGGACTATATTTAAAACCATATTGAAAAACAAGAGTTTTTAATTACATCTATGCTATCCACATGTATCACCAAAAGAGAGAATCTATGAAAATAATAAAAGATTATATTGACATATTATGTATAATCTATATATATTTGTAAATCCTGTATATATTACATAATATTTATACTATATACTGTATGCACAAAATGTGCCTGTATAGGTTAAGTACTAATGGAGGATACCTATTTTTTGACTACCTGAGTACAGTAGTTATATTTTTCATGCGTGCCCTTTATCAGTATCAAGAATTTCATTATGTGTGAATTTTAATTTTGTTTAGCAAATTACCCAAGAGTTTTTATGAGTAGCCTAAAATAATTTGTTAGTTTTTATATGATAGGCATGTATGGATCTCAAATTTGTTTCATGTTTTGATTAAGACCGGTGGTTGACAACTTATTTGTCGATTATTCTTCAGAAACATCAATGGTTGTAATATGAACATGTAGTCACAAGTTAATGCTAAGAATTCCCTATACTGATCACTGTGTGACATAACTCTTCGTTTTCTGTTGGATCAGGTTTCCAGTGGGGAAACTCACAAAGAAAGTCACTAGTTGCAAAAATATTGTAGGAAAAAGAAAAATGTTTATAAAATTAATAAAAATATATACTACTGATTTTTAAAATGAGCTCTCCCTAGTGGATATTCTTTTTGAAATAAATGTTTTCATTAATTCCTTCAAGATTTCATGTGTTTTGATCATATTCATCCCCAACTCCTCTCTTGTCAACTCTTCCTATATCTGCCTTACTAACCTCCATCTTCAAGTCCTTTATATTTGTTTAATATCAATCTATCCATTCCCATCTTTGTTCTTTATTTAGTTCTGGGTGTGGGGCTATCCACTGGAGTGTGTTCAGGTTACCAGAGAACTGACTCTTCTATTCTCAGAAGACATTGGAGTGTGGGCGCATGAAGACCACCCACCCAGTCCTTGCATGTTGACTGACCTTTGCAAGCACAGCTGCTATTGATTTTATACAGTCAGAGATCATCTCTTAATACAGTGATAAACTTACTGCAAAGGGATGATGGGAGACAGTTCCACATCCCTGCTTTGCATTGTGGAAGTGTTAACATTAGTCTTTTATTTCCAGCCAAATCTTTCAATGGTTTTTGTACAGCAAACACTCTTGGGACATAGTGCTCTCCTCCAGAGCAGGGGGAGACATGATGGCATTCAGAAGTCACCATCTTAAGTCTAGGGCTTCTTTTGAGTGATGCAGCCCCTAAGCTCTAAAATTGCCACCTGTCCCTTTGAGCATTAATAGGTAGAAAATGCGGAGTAAGAGGCCACCAAAAGAAAATTCAAGTCCTACATACATGTAGAAAACAAAAGCTATGGGCATTCTTAATCATGATGGGCACTACCCAGTAATCAAACAGCAGGCATGATATTTTGAATGTTCTATTTGAATTCTTGTTGCACTGTAATGTGTTATCCTATTTTAGTAGTTAGAAAATAAAAAAGGGCTATGTATAGAAAATTCATTAATTTTTACATTGCTGTAAATTATTTAATATGAAAATGTATTGGAATTTATATTTTATATACATATAAGGTTTATCAGATTTAAAAAAATATTTAAATTATAGCAGGCCTACTCAATTTTAGGTGACAATTCAACAGATATGAATGCTAGGCCTTTAACTAGGTGATCATGCCTTCAAGTAGAGGCAATACTGGATAATTATGAAATAGAAAGAACATTTCCCTGCTCCTTTCAATGAACATGACTTTCCATTTTTTCTTAGCTACTGTACATTTCTCACACTAGTTCTTTTTTTTCTCCCATGTTTATTAGTTAATGTTCAAGTGTTCCCCCTTCAAAGAAAAACAAGTTGTGTTTTTTGCCAGAAAGTTTATATTTAAAATGGATATTGTGTAGAAACACGGTGGGGGGAATGTCTATCTAATCAACCTAGGGACACTGGGATTAAGGTGGACAGAATGTTTCTCAGTACACATTGGGCTCAAATCCTGCCTTACCTTGGGTGGCATGAATTGCTTGCCTGTTCCCAGGCTCTTGATTATATATATTACATAAAAATTTCAACATAATGGGCACATCAAATCATATCTGGCATCAAAAGCAAGCTCAATTAGTCTTTAAATTTGGGAGAGTCACTGAGTTTCTTTGGGCTCTTACTCCTTATATATAAAATATAGAGTAACCTAGCATCCCCACACACACACTTGGGATGACACTCAAATTAAATGGTGTTCATGAATGTACTTACAAATCATTGTTATGTACAAATATGCAATAACTTAGAGTCATAAAATGGGTACGTTTATAAGTCTTAAAACAGAATTGAATAATGTATCCTAGTACTTTTGCCAAAGTCTTTCTAAATTTATGTTGCTTCATAAGTCTGAAGACTGCTTATCAGCATCTACACATTTACTATTATATGAGACGCAGCCAGTTTTATCCGAAGAAAATACAATTTTATGACTTTAGAAGAAGGTGCCAATGCCCATGTTCTCTATATTGCTGGCCCTTGATGAATTTGCTCTAACAGAGTTAATTTTGGAAATTAGTCCTAGACATAGGCCAATAAAGTTGTTAGTTCATAGGTGAAGAAAAAAACAATACTCATAAAAGCTAAAGCATATCTTTGTACTTTTGCTTCATAAAAGTAAATTCAAAAAAAAAAGCTGAAATATGAAGCTCTCATAAGACAAAGATCTGACCTAGGAATTCTAGGCCAAGTCACGTATAGGTGAGGAAAGTAGGAGTACATTCTTCAACATGTATGGTTTTGGCAAACCATCTATTTTACTTTTATTTTCAACAGTCAGGAAGGTGAAAGGTAGCTCAGTAATGGAACACTTGCCTAGCATGTACAAAGTCCTGGACAATGTGTTAAAAGTGAAATTCTTATTTTGAGATTAAAATAAAAGCTTAAACATAAAAGCAAGATAATGTTAAGCAACAGGGAAGGCAGAACACTTACAAAAACTAGCACAAATTCAGATAATAGGCTTCACTTCTAAAAACAAAAATTTGTTTACTAATAAAATAAATTGGTCACTATAAATTATTTTATAATACCTATGTAGAAAGTCATCATGCATATCAAAACTGAACAGGGATATCCTATTATTTCTATTTGTTATATTAAGCAAGAAACAGCAGAAGTATCAGTTGGATTTGAGTAGTAACCACTAGATGCAATTCTCATGCATGATTTTTAATTTGAAGTTGCTTTCATGACAAGGTCTAATTTCCAGTTTGATGTCATGGCCATGTTTTGCTTTTATAATCAGGAAATTAAAGAAAGGACATAAGAGGTTCATTCACAAATTCTGCATGAAGTGAGTACATGCAAATCAGTCTTGCAAGAGAGAGACAGAACAAAGACAGGGAGGTGGAGGAGCAGGCAAAAAGGAGGCAGGCTGAAGCAGGAAGCAGCCTCATTGTGCAGTGAGGTCATTAGGGAAGCTGGAGAATGATGAGGCCTGTCCATCTCAGTTCCAGGCATGGTCCAGAGCACTACGCCTGATCCTGGGCTCCCAGAGTGTAGTGAATGAAGGAGTCAATCTATTTTTTTGAGAAATGTGGATTTGAAAAGAAGAGAACTTGGGTTTTGTAACTAATGAATATTCTAAGATGTAGAGGCTTTTGTTGTTGTGTTTTGCTTTGCCATTGTGGTCCTTTGTTTTAAAATCTAAAATTCCTAATGTTACCATAGTGGTAAAGCAAGGTCTTAGTCTGATACATCATCTCTAAACTTAGATTTTCAGAGTCTGAAGAACATACAGTCCATTCAGCCCTCTCCACTGTTGCTGGAACTGGCAAGTCAGTTCACCTGATGTTAGAGGTAAGCCTTGACTTATTTTTTTCAGTTCATTATATTTACAGTTCAGCGTTTAACATTTTCAGCTGTGAATTCATTAAGGCAGAGTTCATTTTTAAAGCCCTTAGAGGGCAAAACTCAGTCTCCCACCTTTCCACATCCTTTATTTTTGTACACAGAATTCAACCACAATTTATGACTCAACTTTATCAAGACTTTTCAAAGCATTCAACTTTATTTTCACAGAAATATTCTTCTCTGGTTTGTTTCCACATACATGAGTAGTTTGCAGAAGGGTTATTTAAATTTAAAATGCCAACCGTTGAAATGGAGTAAATGACTTACAGGACAACCTCAGATGATGTCTAGTAAATCTACCACTTAAAGGGTCATGGTATAGCTGAGCCTCTGAGAGTGTGGAAAAGGCACAGAGTTCTTGAGTTCTACAGAGAAACAAAATATTGGCTGAGTGGAGGCCAATGTAGATTCTCCTTCATGGCTCATATTTTCATTAAGGAGAATAACAAATAGACTAAAGTCCTATATCTAAAAACAGAAAACAGAACACACACACACACACACACACACACACACACACACACACACACTGAAATAAATCTATACACCAAACTCCACACACAAGATAGTGGTGTACTTCTTGGGAAGGTTCTGACAACACAAAAGTGGAATAAACTTATACACCTTGCCTGAAAGTGTGACACTTCTTGAAGTTTAAAAAGACAAAACAGGGGAAAATAACAAAAACCTTGAAAGCTCATTAATCAGAGATTGAACTATTATTTTCAAAAAAAGTTCTATTTTGCATGAACCAGAATTTTGAGTGTTTTCTTTAGCTAAAAGTTACAGACACATAATTCTAGTAAAAGTCCTAAAAGGTATTGATTGGGAATTAGGTTCCTTGGTGGTTCCCTCCTTCGCCCCAATTTCATTCAGTTCTCCTTTGAAAAATTCCAGGGAAGCTAAACTATGCAGTAGAAATCAAGACGTATAATTGTATACAGTAACTGAAGTTAAGGTCAGATTCTTAAAATTGGCCCATTAGTGTGAGGAAGATGGGCCACAGTCCCATGATTCCTGTGCAAATCCTAAGGGCTAGAGGTCTTCTAGCTAAGACGACAAGGTCAGTTCCTAGAATCATTCTGGAAGCGAGCAGAGGCAGAAATGAAGCCATCAGCTGTGGGATGAGGAGGACAGGGCCAGAGAAGCTGTATGGTTGCTTTGCCAAAGTGAGAGATCTAGAGCAGGCAGCAGATTGCAGAGATGAAAGGCGATCGGGAGGAGACATATGGAGGCTGGGAGCAAGGGCCAGTTTCCAGTTTCATGAGCTTTTAGCACCGTCACTGTGCCTGCCTTCTGTTCTCTGTACTTCCTTCCTTGGGATCATCCCTCTGGGTCTGGAGGCGGGCTTTAGTCCACTGCTGTCTAGAGATGTGTCTTCCTTCCTCCTGCCTGTCTGAGGGCCGGGTCTGCTGTTATCCTGTCTATAAAATTCTTGCCCTCTTTTGTGCCATTCTAAACTGTTCCTGAGACATGCCATCTCTTTGTTGGAGTTTACTCTCTGGTTTGTTTTAATTCTGTTCAATCACACTGCTTTCTTGTATAGACCATTTCAGTTTTCATGCACCTGACTCAACCCCAGGCTAGAAGTGGAGAGCCACAGCAATGACCAATTTCAAGAGGGCATTAACCCTCAGCAGTACCAGCATCTTTGACTGCCAGTATCTCCTGTCCCATGGAAACCTCAAAATTCCATCATCTCAGCTAGCTCCTGTAAGTCCTTCTCCTCTCGTTATCGATCCTGTGGGTTGTCCCCATCAAACGTCCCCCTTCCTTCACCATTCTGCATACCTCCATCTGCTTACCTCTGTTCAGGAGCACCATAACTACCTCTTTGCGAACACGCAGGACCTCACTCCCTGCCACTTTATGACGTTGTTGAATTCACTTGCGCAAAAAAATACAAAGATGTGTAAATCCGGGTTTACTTTGCACACACATGCCTGCTGCAGAGTGACTCAAGACAGCATACAGTTAATGTAGCATGCAAATTTGAGTACATGTTTATTAAATAAATTAATGGGCGAGAGGGCAAAAGGTACCCTATTTATTATGTTTCACACTAGCAAGTTTTAAGTTAAATACTTTGTTAAATCAAAAATTGAAAACCTTAAGACAATAGAATAGGATGGAGGCTGGGAGATAGTTCAGCTGATAAAGTGTTTGTCATGGAAGCTTGAGGACCAGTGTCCCCATCTCCAGCCCTAACATAAACGTCACATGGGCATGGCTGCTGCCTGTAATACCAGTGTTTGGGAGACAGAAAGAGAATTCCCATCCAGCAGGAATAGCATATAAACCAGCTCTGGGCTCAATTGAGAGACTCTACCTTAATGAGTATTGGAGAGTGATCTGGTAAAGACTCTTGACTGATGTCAGCTTCAGGCCTCAGTACACATTCTCACACATGTGTTCACTCATACACATCCACACATATGTGAACACACACACACACACACACACACACACAAAATCTAATAATTAAATAAGTCAGAAAGTAAGCAATCATATAGATTAATAAATTTAACTTTAAAATATGAACAATTTTAAAATGTGAGCTGCAATAAACTGGAAACACTTCTCCTTCAAGAGCATTTTCTTTAAGGCCATTTTTTGTTTATTCTTATTCTTTGAAACTTTCATAAGTATATCCTAATATTTTCACTCCTTCCCACCAACCCCTCCTAAGTCCCTCTCCCCAGCATAGCTGCCTTCCAACTTCAAGTCCTCTGTTGGCTTTTTACAATCCAAAGAATCCTAAAAGCGTTTTCCATACATCCATAGCTGTGGGGTTATCCACTAAGGATGGGTAATTTGCCAGTGGGAAACCCCACAAAAAAGCAACTTCTCACCCTCATATCAGCCATCAACTGTCAATTTCTCCTACACTCGGGATTGGGCCTTGGAAGTTGCTCCATGCTCCATACAAGACTTATGCAGGTGACCATATTCACTGTGAGTGCATGGTCATACAAAAAAAGAGATAAACTATTGTCCTATAATTCAATAATTTAACCTTGGAAGATTATTTGGACTTCAAAAAGGAGTAAAAATTTGAAGTGCATGCCTTTATGTATATGGTGACTTAAAAACAGTAATAAAGCAAAGCTTAGTGAAAGTCCAACTTTACAAAAGAAGCTTTTATTTTTTTCTTTTCCCATCATTTTATTGAGTTCATCAGCGTGTCTGTCTTTTTTTCCAACTATTTTTTAACTAGAAACAGGATTGTTTTACATGACAATCCCAGTTCCCTTCTCCCT